TGCCTTGGTTAAATTGGTTTGGCTAGGAGCTGCCGAAGAAAGCATGACTTAGGAGTTGGAGAGCAAGACGCGAGACTCCTACCCTGAGTTGTTTGATTAAGGTAAATTTTCGAGGACGAAAATATTCTAAGTGGGGGAGAATTGTAACGTCCGTAATTTAATTAATTATTTAATTAAATTATTTTTGGAATAATTGTGAAGATGTGTTATGATTAATTAGATTTAATTATTTTATTAAGTGATGAAATAATATTAGAAGTATAATATTATTTGATGTGGGCTTATTTTGAAGGAATAAAGGTAATAAGGGGGTGTATTAGTTTTGAGCCCAATAAGGAATAAATAATAATAGGGTTATTTTATTGTTGTTAGAAAGAATAGAAAAGAAAGAAGCAGTAGAAGAATAAGGATTGAGAAGGAGAACGTGAAGCTGCTGTAAAGAGGAAAACGACAGAACGAGGTTTCGACCGAAAGATTATAGAGTGACCTTCAATCCAAGGTAAGGGTGGGGTTCTGACTCTATAATTGGGTTCATGATGACTGGTATGTGGGGTTAGAGGTGATTGTTGTCTTGTTCATGAATTGAATGTATATGATGATGTATGATGAAGAATCGATGAATTTTAGATGAATAATGATGTCCCGATGTTGTTTAATCAATGTAGAATCATAGGATATCTGTAAGTAATGATTTATCATGATTATATTAAGTTTGTAGGGCTAAAAACATGAATCCCATAGTGAAATACAGATAAAATTGCAGAATTTATGCATGAAAGACTAGGATGTGTCGACCTCAAACATGATGCGTCGATACATGAGGGTTTAGAGACTCAGTATGAGTCGACACGAAGAGGCTTGCGTCGATACATGAAGGTTGAAAGACTAAGGATAGGTCGATACGTAGGATGCATGTGTCGATACATGCTGTGGGTAAGACTCAAGATGAGTCGATCCAAGAGAGGATGCGTCGACTCATGTTATGCAATTAGTGCAGTACGCGTCGATCCAAGACGTTTTGCGTAGACCCATATTGTCTGATTTCTGGCAGATTCAGTTTTAAAATGCTGTAACTTGAGTTTTAGAATGCCGTTTGAGATGTCGTTCGAAGCGTTGACAAGCTAATGAGACGAACTTCATTCTAGATGATTAAAATGAAGAATAAGAAGTGTAATCCTAGTATCCAATTTAGGATTTAGAGTTAGTTCCCGTGTTGATTGTTACATTGACTTTTATGCAGGATGATGTTGATTAGACGCTTAGAGGCTGCTGTTTGATTTATAACAGTAGGATTAGTGATAGTGCCGATGTGATATTACAGAATAGCAATACGGATTACTGTAGTATTAATGTACAACTGAGTTGTTGATGAGAAGTTATTAATGATGTTGTATTGATAATTTACAATAAATAAATGATGTTTGATGAATTATTATGATGATATGAGATGTTGAGATGCTTTTGAGATGTTGTTAATTTGAGATGTTGTTAATTTGGGTGTTGTTATTACATTCATGATTGTGTCGCATACATTGCATTTTTAGATGGAGCTTATGCTCGTTGAGATGACATGTATTGGCGAATTTTGAGATGAAGACTTATGCCTTGTTGATGCCTTTATTAATTGGCAAATTTTTGAGATGGAAGTTCTGCTCCAAATGGTACCACATGCATTTGCATAATATTGAGTCGCATTATATGATTGCATGGAGAAGTGTGTAATGCTGTTGTGAATGTGTATTATTATTGTGATTATTGTTGATTAAGAGATGAGAAGTGGTGATGTTATGTGATCTAATTTAACATACTAATTATCATGCGCTTTATTATATTGTTAGATATCTCACCCCTTCTGTTTGAATGTTGCCCTTATATCGGTAACGTGCAGGTAATCGAGAGTGAATGTTGTATACCTTCAGTAGTTCGAGTCACTGTCATTGCTCTGATATGTAACACTCGGGGGATGAACGCTTGTTGTTTTTGATTGTTGATTTTTCAGTTATTGAATGTTAAGTTGATTATTATTAAATATGTGCTGTTTCGAAGTTGCTGTATTGATGATAAAGATGTTATTAAGAATTCCACTGCGTAGATGTTGAGTTATTTAATTAAAGATGTTATGATGATGGTTCATCTGATATTTTAAAAAGTGTTATATATCCACGATGAACGCAATGAATTTTGATAGAAGAATTTGTGGCATCCCGATTCGTTTGCATGAATGATTTTATAACTCTGATTTATTTATATAATTGTCGGGGTAGAATTGGGGTGTTACACAAACCATTATGCAACCATGATACATAACATTAAACATGTTTAATTTTCACTCATATTCATAGCCAAATTTTCATCGGCACCTTCAAAGTCCAATCATCACCGTCACCCGTCTTTTAACTTTTAAAGCCCAATTTTTATTGGCACCTCCAATTCCCGATCATCATCGACCCCCGTCTTTTAACTTTTTAGAGCCCAATCACCTTCGAAACCTAACATTTTAAATTTTCAAAGCCCAGTCATCATTGGCACCAGTCGTTTAATTATTTTCTCCCTAGTGAATTTTCTCCAGTAAATCCCCTTACGAAGTTGTCAACTATCGTGACACGAAAAATACCTGAGAACGAAAACACTTGAATGACAATGAAGTCATCACAAAAGTTTATTTTTAAAGGAAAAATGTCGATAAAACCCTAAAAGAATGAAAATATGGTCATCGCAACCAAATCCATGTTCAGGAGTCGATTATGCGTGAGAACGGTATTAGCACTCACCCCATAACATCAATTGTAAACAATAATTACCTTTAATTAATTTTACAAATAAAAGTGTTATCCTTAAAGTGTTTGATTTATCCTATTTATTACGACATATTTACAAGAAAAGGAAAAAAAAAAGAATTTTTTATTAGGGTGCTTAACAAGATGCATATATTGCTCCTACGTATTCTCAGGTGCGATGGGGAATTCAAAGCTACATAATTATGGGTAGCAAATATTTGTGGGTTGGATAATTTTAGATGAAAGAATAATTAAAGAGATGGAAAAAAATTTGTTGATAGAAAATAAAAGTTTGTTTGCACTATGGCGGTCGTGTGCTTGTAATATACCTACTAAGGTCTTTGAGTCTCCTTGCCCTTACAAGGAGTACAGATACACTTGTATTTTTTAGACAATATAATAGTTCAAGGTAGCAAAAACTTGTGGATTGAATGATTTCATATAAAAGAAGTGTTTAATCGCGCAGAGGCAGAAAAAGTTTGTTGATTGAAAATAAAAATTTGTTTGTATTATGGTGGAAAACAAGAGTTTGTTGATTGACATTGTTATTAGGTGAAAGACGAGTATTTGAACTTAAATAAGATATACATCTTGCATTCATTTACTCGAAGATAAAAGGATGTACATCCAATTATCTCTTTTTAATCTGAGGGAAAAGAATTAATTCGTCTTTTATTTTTAAACGAAAAACGAGTAAATAAGACGTATGTCTATTAGTTTAGTCGAGATTAAAAGAATGTACATCTAGTTATTATTATTTTTAATGTGATTTTAATTTATTAAAAAAGCAAGAATTAAATTACAATAATCAAAACTTAAACAAAACGTGCATCTTGTATTCTGACACTCCGGAACAAAATAAATATACATTTAATTATTCCACTTTAATCCAATTTTATTCTCCGCTTTAATTATTAATGTCTTAAAACAAGCGGATAGAATTATGATATATAAACCAATCCTCTAGAAGAAAAACGAAGAATTAGAACTTAAATAAACACCAACAAAAAGAGCGAAAAATCACCAACAAAAAGAAAACGAAAAATACCAAGATGGACACACCATTACAAAAAGAAAAATGAGAGACTTAAATGAGTGAATGGGGGTATTATGGTCTTTAACCCACTTAAATGATAATTAGGGGGGTTGTTTGGCTTGGCCTCATTCTCACTTTATCACAAAATCAGATTTTGTAGAGAGGAAGAGAAAGAGAACGTGAAAGAGAAGAAAAGCCATTGTCAAGCTCATCATCTCATCTTGCGACCAACTTCAATTCCTTGATTCATCATCTTTTACCTCTGTTTGACAGCTACTTCTTCTTACATTCAAGGTGAGTCTCTAATTAGAGACTTAGGGTTTAGTGGGGTAACATGAAATTGGGGATTAAGGGTTCTATAGTGAGAAATCAATGACTTATTAGGTTGTAATATGTTATATTCATGTGATAATGCTGTAATGGAATATTGTGCATACTTCCTAATATGGTCTATTTTCAACCAATATATGCTCTCTGTTACATTTGTATGAGTTTTGCATTAAAGTCGGATTTGAGTTTAAGAAATGCTCAAATGTTTTAAGGCTGACTTTCTACCTAACCATAAGGGTGACTTTCTACCTAACCATAAGATTGTTGTTGTGTTTTGGTTTTAGCCAAACTAATTTGAACCTTTGATTATATTTTAAATAAATCCGACCCACCTATTTAATGGTCCATCCTAAATGTTTCTTTTCTCCTAGATTATTTAATGGTCCATGCTAAACGTTTCTTTTCTCTTAGATTTTAGAAACCGTTTCTGCCTAATAACTAGGAATAACCACCAATCCCACGTTAAACATCTTAGGTTAAATACTTCTCTCTCACATTAAAAATAACATTTCTCTGTTTTCTTAAAAACAATTTCAAACTCTCACGTTAAAATGCCATGTTTTAATTCTTGAAGGAGGCGCTGGAGTCCTTTAAGCAAACGATCGTTGATGGTGTGAACTTGGAGTCCTATAAGCAAAAGATCGTTGATGGTGTGAAGCTGTTCGCATTTTTAGATGACCAATCTAAATTGTTGGCTGATTTAGAATGGTTTCATTTATCTGATTTGCTTATATATTTAGTTTAACACATTTATCTGATTTGCTTATATATTTAGTTTAACACATTTTTTTATATTTTTTTTACAGTATTAAAGACAAAGGAGATGGTTGTTATAGTTTGGAGAAAGTAACTTGAGAATGCATTTCACAGCTCTCCCTCCTCTGAGAGCTCTCCCTACTCCCTCTTCTGAGAGCATTCCCTCGTCTGACTACTCTGAGACTGAGACACTAAGTCCATCTATCGAGACACTAAGTCCATCTATCGAGACACTAAGTCCATCTATCGAGACTGTCAATCCGTCTACCGAGTGTTGTGAGCCTATCATATATTATGATTACCGGTATAGACATAATCCTATTTCTTTGTCTTCGTGAAATAGATTGTGATTTGCAAAAAAATAAAGTATTATTAGTCATATAAAATAAACTCAATTTACATTTACTTAACCATAAAAATGAAAACAGGTGTTCGCTTGCTTTTACACGCACTTAGGGCAAAATTAATGCTTTTGCGAACACTATATATACAAAGTATTTTTCGTCAACAAGTTAAGATAGTATGTTAGAGGTACACTAAATCTTTACTCATAACAAAAATCTTTATGCACAACACAAATGATAACAGATAAAGGATATGAAATAAAAGCATTTTTATATTTACCTCATCACCTCTGACTTCATAGACAGTCTAGTGTTCTCTATAGTACTTATCAATTTAAATGTTGTTGAATTAGCTTCCGTAATTCTCCGTTTATTATAGGTAAATCCACAAATAATATTAAGTGTTTTTGTGACTTATCTGACAATATTGTTTGTGGAGAATTACGGAATCTAATTCAACAACATTTAAATTGATAAGTACTATAGAGAACACTAGACTGTGTATGAAGTCAGAGGTGATGAGGTAAATATAAAAATGCTTTTATTTCTTCAGTTTATATCCCCTTTTCTGTTATTAGGTTTCTAATCATTTTCGTTGTGCGTAGAGATTTAGCGGGCCTTTAAAATACTATCTTAACTCGTTGGCGAAAAATACTATCGGTAGAAATAGTGTTCGCAAAAGCATTAATTTTGTTCTATGTGCGTGTAAAAGCACATAAATTAAGTTTATTTTGTATGATTAATAAAATCACAATCTATTTCCTGAAGACAAAGAAATAGGATTATGACTACTGGTAATCATAATATACAACTTTTTTTTCTTTATTGTTTGATTTTGCTATGTGATATCTATATAACTTTGTGAAAAATTGCTGATATGTGTTTGGAGATGTTTGTTTTAATTGGTCTTGTTCCAAAAAGTATAATGTTTTTACGTTGTTGTTGTATAATGTGTATTGAGGTAAAACTGCTGGTGTGTATGTCATGTCTCATGCCTATTCTGTTAGAAATAAATTCTTATTTTGCCTTTAAAAAAACTTTGTGAAACACAATGGGAAACAAAAAATTAATTGTGAAATGTATGTTTTAACAAAAAAAAAATAATAATCATATGCATTTCCAAGCATTTGATAGCTGACAAATCCTGAGAAAATGTTTAGGCTGCAAATGAGAGAAAACCAGAGAGAATTAGGATTTCATGATATGCTGTGTTCCTGGTACAGTCTGTTTTGACTGTCGTGTTTGGGTCTGAAGAAGGATTTTGACAGAATCCATTAAGGGTCAATTTGTAGTATTCTTTCATTTGTATGATATTGGTTTCGTGACTCAAACATGACAATATTTTGTTAAGGCTTTGTCCTCTGAGAACATAACATATATATCATAGAAGTAATTCTTTGATGTATATGACATCATTTCACTTTACTATATATTTATTTTATATGGACTGACAGGAAGTTGAGGCTGTGTTTTCAAGTGTTCATTTAGTTGGCCATTGGCGTGTAATGCAATGACCATTATCTTATATGCTTTGCTTATTGGTCTGAAGAAGGATTTTAATGGAATTTATATGCTTTGCTTATTGGTCTGAAGAAGGATTTTAATGGAATTTATTTTGGGTCTATTTTGTATCATTCTTACATATGAATGATACTTGTGATTTTCCTCATCACTGGTATCATTGTTCTCAGTTTCCAAGATATTTGGTTTTTATTTCTAGTGATAATATTTGATATTTGGTTTTTTTTCTACATCATTACCCCAAGTAGTCTAACTTATGCAATAAGATTATCGACAAACAATCAAATTAACACTTAAGTTCTAATATTTACCGTCGATTTAATTATAAAAAGAATTAATTTTAACTTTTATTGCTTTAATTTAAAAAAATAGATTATAGTATATATCTTTCTCTCTCGGGTAAGACTAAATAAAATATTTCATTATTTTCAAGTAAAATATCTTTTTAACTCAACCCTGTGTAGCTTTCATATTTAAAACATACTTTCGCGGCAGTTTTTCACGGTTGAAAAAATCCACGTAAAGACCCGGTATGAGAGAAACCAGGCATTTCAATTTCTTTGACTAATTCTATTTTTAAATCTAATTGAACCTAATTAAAAAATCTATTTTTATGGCCAAGTAACGGTTTGAAAAATGAAAAATCAATCTATTTTTATTCTATTTTTATGACCAAGTAACGGTTTAAAAAATGAAAAATCAATCTATTTTTATGATCAAGTAACGGTTTGAAAAATGAAAAATCAATCTAATTGAATGTGGAGAATTATTATAACTTTCACTAAAACATAACAATTATATTATCTTCATATTAAAAAAATTAAGCTATTCTAATTGAACAAGAAGAATTATTATAACTTTCACTAAAGTATAATAATTATATTAACTTTGTTATGAATAACGTGGATGTCTATTTTCCGTTATTTTTTATATTTTTTTTAGCTCATATGAATTAATTTCCTAAACTTTGTATATTCTTTGAATTAATGGTTATTATTGGTCATGTACTATAAATATGACTCATATTGTAATGTTAAAAGAACTTGAAGAATAATACAATATTATTTTCTCTCTTCTTTATCTCTATATTGTTTTGTTGAATTTTATAACACGTTATTAGCACGAAGCTCTCAGATATATTTATCTTTGTTTGTTTTAGTTTTATAAAATATATAGTTATTCAACCTATTATATCTTACTATTTGATTAGGATAATATCAATTGTGATTTCGAAGTATTCCAAAATGATTGCAACAATAATATTAAAATATTTCAGAAGGATTTCATAAAGATTTTTTTTATCGATCTAAAAGCTTATTATTTGTAATATGTTCATCAAAGATAGTCATTCTAGAAGAATGGCACAAATAATTTTAACGCATCCCAGAAAGATAGTTATATTGTTAGATAATTATTTATAACAAATTATTTATATAATTCTCCAAGAACTTATCAAACATCTCTGAAGAATAACAAAACAAATTATTTATATGGTTTCAGAAGAATTTATCAAACATCCTTGAAGGATCATAAAACAAATTAATTATATGATGATATAAATTTAGTGATATGATTTTGTCTTATTTTGATAATTATATGATAATATATTCATATGCATGTGTATGATTAAAGTGCTTAATCATGAGATACTATTATATTAGTTTTGAATATATTGTCAACCATTACACAAATTAGATATAGTTCTTGATGCTCTAAAATTAGGATGATCAATGTTTAATATGTGTCCTCAATTGTAATACCTCGTATTAAACAAAGTCTTGTTAATACAATTTCTTTATATCTTATTATTTCTAAATATTGATATTTTAACAAGAGAATTGAGACATCGATTACTAGAGGAGAAAATAAAAGGTCAGTTTTGAGACCGTAAGAGTCCAATGTTGAGAGAGTCGGAATTCTATTATTACTAACAGAGTAACCTCACTCTCCATATCCCTTGGTACTATTCAAACAATAGAATTAGTCTCTTACAATAGTTAGTGACTTGGCTTATATAATTAACTTGTATGATTTTTTTTTATTGTATAAAGTTGCTATGTGAAACAAATATTTTCGTTATAGATAATTCACATGAATTATATTGGAGGTATTGAATATCTTTGTATTACATAATATAATTTGGACTAAAAATGCATAATAGAAAAGGTACTGATTTTTCCTCAAGTTTGTGCTACACTTATATTGGTACAATTGAAGCACACGCCATTGTAAATTAAAAGTTTACAAATTACATTTACATGTGTCGTTGGTAAAATCGGTTGAGTCATCTCGGATATAATATGATGCGAATAATTAATATTGAAGAACTAGAAGTTTCTTCAATCCAGTAAATATTTATGAGTTTCTAAAGGAAATTAAAAATCTGAGAAATTGAGTTTTTCATGACATTAATTGTTGCATTGACTAAATTATCATGCAAAATATTTATCATCTACTTATAACAAGAATTTTGTGAAATTGTTTGCTCAAACAACGATCTCATTTTTTGAAATTTTTCTTTTCAAAACTTTCTTGATAAGTATCACATATATTATTAAAAATTGATATTGAACATCTTGTAGTATATGTTCATATAAAAAAATAGATTTGAAGATCAATTCTTTAGACGTCTAAAGTCAGTTGTATCATTGGTACTTATGATATTATAATTTCTAAATTAGGCTTTGGGAACATGCAATCAAGTACATTAAATATTTATCCGCATTAAGCCAACAAGATATTGTATCTTAACCCTCCTTTAACTTACCATTTATTCTAATATTTCTCATGTAAGTGAACATTTGGATGTGTTGTGTATATTCCAATTACTTCAATATAATACATTAAGATGAGTCATGAAAGAATATTGAAAAAATATAATTGATATGAACCTCAATTTTGAAGATATAATTTGAGAAAATAATAAAATACTTGATTGTAGTCCAGTAGGCTGATTATCACTTAATAAATTATTTTTCTCAATACTAGGGGGGAGAATAAGCAGCTGAAATCATGAACGAGAAGTGCAAATGAATATTTTTAAATCTTGATCCCCGTACAAATCAATATGAACCAAGAGTTCAAAATATTATTCATTTGTAAATTTTATACAACCAATTACATATGCTAATACCATAATCAAAGTGGATTATTGGATAATCTTATATTACAAATGAATTTAAACCGTGCACGAAGCATGGTAGGAAAGTAAGTTTTGATATTAACAGCAGTAAACTAGAAGTTTACAAATAATGATAAATTTCTAATTTGGCATGATCGGTTGGGCCATCCTGACTATATAATGATGTGAAAAATAATTGATAATTCATGTGGTCATCAATTAATGTGTCGGGAAATTATTCTATCAAATGAGTTCTCATGCAACTCTTGCTCGCAAGGGAAATTGATAATTCGACCATCACTAACAAAATCTAGAAATGAATATATCAATTTTTTAGAGCGTATACATGGTG